AAGTTTTCTCAGGAAAATTATGATGCAAATGCATGTTCTGGGAAGTAGAGTGCATGATGTCTCTTAAACCTACAATTTCCTTCTAACCTCTTGTAAGTCACCTCTGACTTGCCTTTGTTTCTGTCTTTCATCACTGGTTCTTTTCTCATCCTTTTCCAAGCTGACTGAATCTTCTGATGAGGTAACCAACTTTGTCCCTCGTTTCCCACTCATCTTCCCTAGCTGCATACAGTTGAACCTTTTGGTAGATAGTACAGCAACCTGACTTAGTTTGTACTGTTATTCACATATTTAGCATAAAAATAATTTTGTGTTTCCAGAATGGTTTTTCCTCATTTACAGACTTTATTTTTAGAGACTAACAGGTAGTGAAGAGAGAGAAATCTTTAAAAAAAAAACAAACAAACAAAAAACCCAAACCAAACCAAACCAAAATCATTTCTGCGAATGAATTATTAACATTTTCTGATGCTGAAATATGTGGCCATGCCTTTCTATTCTTCTCTGTTTATTGAACACTCAGAATTTTGGGGGGGGGGGTAGGTAGAGATGGACAGTACCTGAATGTCACAATCTAGATACCAGTACTTACTGAAACTACTGAACTTTTTGGATGGAGATGCAGAGAGGTTTGGGGAAGAACTGGGGTAACTGCATGAAGAAGTGTAGCACAGGGAACATGCTCTCTGTCGGTTTCCTAGAACTGCTCTTGTGGGAACAAGGGGCACTTGTCCCTGGTGACTCCTCCTGTGGCACATGCTGCAGAACCGAGCGGTGCCACGTCCCTGCTCCTGGGGAGCATGTCGGGGAGAGGGGTGGGAGCAGAGGTGCTGTGGGGCAGCTGAGAGGGGCCACAAGGGTCTTCCAGTGGGCAACGAAGCTGGTGAAGGGTCTGGAGAACAAGTCTTATGAGGAGCGGCTGAGGGAACTGGGGCTGTTTAGCCTGGAGAAGAGGAGGCTGAGGGGAGACCTCATAGCGCTTTACAACTACCTGAAAGGAGGTTGTAGCGAGGTGGGGGTTGGTCTCTTCTCCCAAGTAACAAGCGATGGGATGAGAGGAAATGGCCTCAAGTTGCGCCAAGGGAGGTTT